TACCTCGGGTCATTGCCAAGAGTACGTAACTCATCAGAACATATCTCTTCCTTCTTCTTCTCCTTCTTTTCCTTCTTTTGGAGACAAGGATCATCTTCGTCTACTTCGATAGTTATCTTTTTTTTTGGCTCCTTTTCCTTCGTTTCATTATTCTTTCGTGAAGATGGACTATTTTCTCCCATTTTTTTTAAACGACTATCACGTGTGCTTTACGATATTAATAATTCTGTTATATATTTTGAATTCCTTTTTAAAAGCTGTTCAGTACTCCTGTCATTAAAAAATTGTTTTTCATTGCTATTCGCTTGTTTAAACTTTCGCTATATATACAATGAGAATAATTAAATTAGCGTCTTTATTGACACGAAACCAATCATATAAAGCGGTACAAAAAGATTTTTTAAAAAATAGCATACAATACGCAACGCATAATTAATCACAGTTAACATAAGGCCATTTATCTTCTACGTCTGTGATGCTGAAGTATTTCCAACATTTTTGGATCAAATAAATCTGAATCGCTTCAGATGATGCATACACTATACAGTAGCAGCGTATATCATTTTTATAGGAAGAGAGAGAATAACACAAATTGTATATGTGCGATATATAAACACTTAGAACAAGCGCTACAGTGACTAATGCGTGAATCGCATGAATCAAGCATAAAATTAACATCAAGCTGCTTCCCGGCGAACACATTGTGGTAAACAAATAAAATCTCTAATGAGATTTATTTTAACTTTCAATATTATACGCCGAGCGGTATATAAATATAATATATACGCGCATATATAAACGATTTCTATATAAAAATATCATCCACGTACATATCGATATTATCCACTAAGATTGAGAACACACGCTTTTATCATTTCTTGTATAGAAGTGGTAGATATTATTATTTTAAACTATCTATATAGTAAAATATATAAAATGCATATTTTTAAATCTTATATTCAGTCGTAAGAAATAGACTCTTGATAGAATCTATAAAAATAGTCCTCAGACTCTAAAAATAGAATCTGAAGACTAAAACTGCAAATTTTCAACATTATTTAATGATATAATCCAGAAGAAACTGTATTTAATAACCAATATTAATATCTTATCAATCTGACGATTTCTCTAGAAGAAACCAGTTCATTGCAGTTTGTTTGTAGAAAAAAATATGTACATCGCTGAACACAGTTGAATACAATTATATCAGAAGTCAACAAGTGGAGAATAATTTTCAATGAAATTATTGAATCATGTTAAGATGTAAATTAAAAATACAATTTATTATTATCCACTTGATACTTCCATTAATAAAAGGCACTATTCAGGTCCCAATATTAATTAATCGAGATCAGGATTGAATAACCCTTACATCCTTTCATAATTCCTTACTTTTTCTTTCTCTACTCTTTTGGAACATATCTCGTACATATGCGATATATAAATGGTAAAATTTCTTAAAATAAAAATGCTTGTGTTACAGTTTGATAGATACGTCAAGAATGATATTGATAAATGATTAATTCTCAAAAGAGAAACGAAAAATATGCGAACATTGTGTAATTATATCTTCGGAATATATATATACGTATATCTACATATATATACAAATCTCGTTACCAATACATTAATGTTTAACGATACATTTTCTAATCGATTTGAAATCGTAACGTCATCGGGAAAGAAGTGTGACACCCTGTTTGTATGCTGCAATAGTGAACTAAAGAATGAAAAAAATGTTTATCGATAGGACCAGCCTATTATCTTAGAATGAATAATTCTGTAGACATTTGTGTGACAGGCATGATTACATCCTACATTATACGCAAGCGCAAACAATTATCTCAACGATGAGAGATAAGGTTGACAAGTCATGCGCTGTACCGGCTGATAAAGTCTTCTTTGTACCGGACTAGCGGTAACATTATCGTTTGATCCGAAATTATAAGAATTGTGATCTCTAGATAAATCAGCGGTGCCTGTTTCTGTAGGACGATTCTCCTGGAGCGGAGAATCTCCGTTGCCGATCTGAGATTGCGCGGCAGCTTCGTTCCTCTTGCGGAATTTTGTCGAATACTTGTAAAAGTCCGACATTTCGAAAGGCTTTGTCACTTCCCTATATGGTTGATATTTTCCTGGCTGTACAACCGTGCAATTTTGCGGTGAGCCTAACGGTCGTACCACATTATCGCAGACGTCCGTGGATGGCTTTGATTCGGCCGGTATCTCCAATATCTTCGATCTAGTCGTGGGCTGATCATAACGAGGATGAGACTGTTGCACTGAGTGCTGCCGCTCCTCGGGCTTATCTCTTTTTTGACGATTCGCAGGGCTCATTGGTAGTGACGGTCCGCCTGTCGTCTGATTATCTCTTGCGTTCTCATTAGTGGCAGTTTTAATACGAGCAAGTGGTGGACTCGATTGATAATGCACATTTTTTCGTGCGGCGATCAAATTGTGATCTAAGCCTGCACTCACTCCTGCACTCACTCCTGCATCCAACGATGTTTCGTACCATTCTTTCTGACGACTTTTACGATTGTTATTGATGTATTCCGTCGCAGACACATCCTTACCATCGTGCGAATCATGCGAATGACTCGAGTTCCAGGTCTCTACGCTTCCCAATGACTGTGTACGCAGCAGCATCTTGTTGTTCGTCGGCGTTTGTTGCTCAGATAACGGCAGCAAATGAATAGAGTGATGCTGATGGGATGATGCAGTGACATTGCTGCTCGACGAGCTTTTAGTACACGCAACGGCAACCGTGCGATAACGCGATTGCGTGTCAAGATTCGCCTCACTGACACTGTTGTGTTGAGCATTTCGGCGTCTACGATCTAAACTGCCGAATCTGTCAGGTTCGTCCGTACTCACCCAGTGAATATCATCATGGTGACGCACCCAGTAACCAGATGACAATGGAGCCTCATTCGATGTATTGCCACCACTGTGCCGCGAGGTGTTTTTAACGCAAGATGATAATGACGAATCACGATCTCGCTTCTGTAAAATTTGCTGAGATTGCGCGCTGTTCTTATAGTAGGCCTGGTAATCGGGCAAATAATGAGATGAGCGAAAATCTCTGTCGTAGGTTCCCTGTCCACTTCGCCGTAAGATATCCGTATTATCGAGGTGCTTATATTCAAAGGAACCTGAATACTGTAGTCTGTGGGTGTGCTGCTGCGCTTGATCCTGCAATTGTTGTTTCTGCATATGCTGAAATTTAAGGTAGCGCATTTGACGTTCATCTTCGGTATATGTGTTCGGCACGTAAGGCCGATACATTCTTTCGGTATCCTGATAATGGCCACGAGATCCGCCGCTTCCATGGGAATACGTACGCGCGCGATACTGATCGGGTAAAATGTAGACGTTGTGATCATGTTCCACGATTTTAATGTTCGATTGTTCGACAGGGCTTATGCCGGGATATGTGCCACTGTGATGATGATGATTGCAAACACTCGGTATGGTTAATTGCTCCTCGTATCCATGTCCGCTGTAAGTATTCGATTTGTCCTCAGGTGCCAAGGGACTCAAACTAATACCAGGTTCATGAAGAATACTTCTTCCAACAGATTTTGGACTTGTTATCTCATTTCCTGTTGTATATAAATTATATGTTATAGATTGAAACATTATTTTGTAAAATTATAAAAGAAGTAATTATAATAATTTTTCTCTAACACACATATACACACACATATACAATACCTGTACTATCTAAAGGTGGCCGTGGCTTCTTTGTCCTGTGCTTTACGTTAATATGTGAATGTGGTTGCGTATTGTAATTTCCTGTGTTCACTGGTAATTGAGTTGAACGCTGTGTTTTACCACGAGTCTGTCTAATAAAGTTCAGCTGCGTCTCCAACTCTTGTAGCCTTCGCTGACTTTGCTGATAAGCGAGTCTGTGCTTGCGTCGCGTGGCTTTACTTTCCGTAGGATCGTTAATAATACCCAACGCAGCTTCCACAATTCCGAGCTGTATTTGCTTTTCCAACTCTAATTCAGACTCCTCCTGCATACCGTAAATAGATGATAACTCCAATCTAACATATTTACATCAATTCGTATACCATTACATTTAAAACAAAATCTTACAACATCAGATGTCTTCAACTTGAGGATCAATTTTTGTGAATGTATAAAGGAAGTGCCCACTTTTCTACGAAAAGTTGGTGGACTTTCGCCAGGCTCCAAAGGTATTTCCGGTGGTAAAACTCCAGTTAACTCTGCCTCCTCTATGCACAAGTTTTTCAACTCATTATTTTTTTGAGCAAGCTTCTCTTGTAAGGCTTCTCTGCGCTGACGTAGCCATTGCAGTCTCGCAGATAATGGATCATCTGCCAAGGCTCCTGGCGCATTTTCGTTTCCTGCCATCACTAGGCAAATGTAAAAAAATGATTTCAGTGTGATATAATTAATTATGAAAGCATTAAATGTTGTATTATATATTGGTTGACTGTGCTTACCCATATTATTGGATAAGGTTATTAGCAAATGGGTCAGCTGTAATCTTTACGATTGTCCTAGTCAATGCATCTTGACAACAGCATATCTTAAACTATGATGTCATTTAAGTATTGTTTATTGTTTCATATCAAGGATATACTGGAAGCAAGTCCTTAATTTTTGCACAATTCGAGCATTCTTCCTTTGTAGATAAACTGCACACAATCAGTAGTGAATAAAGTAAAATCTCCAGTAAAAGTTCCTGATGATCAAAGACTTTCTGTAACACAGCGAAAAGTTTTTTTCTTTAATAATATTTTTGGAAGTTCTCTAGTTTATATAGTTATCTAACATAAAAAACACCTAGATTTCTATATGTTTTATTATTTTTGTATAACTGTCCTAATTTTTTTCTTAATAAACTTATAAATCGCTTTACGTGTCTTTAAAATTACATCTTCTTCAGCTTCTAAACAAAGTCCACTAACGCTTATCCTATTCGTTTCTGTGATAACGCTTAGGTTAAATGTTATAAAAATGTGTAGATTACTTTATCAATTTACGAGTACTTTATCAATTTCAGTCGATTGGTTGCCAAATCAGATGCCGCTTAAACCGTATATATAACAGCAGATTCAGATACAACAGATTCTGTTTCATTCGTAATCTCAGAGACCGTGTTTCATAACTAACGCTTCAGTATTCAAAGCGAGTTGAATCGACGCTAAGAATAATCATGATTTTTACCGTCGGTTCCTCGCAGAAGAAATGCGTCAAATATGTCTACCAGAAAGAAGTAAACACGAGGCTTTAATATCTAGCTTACAGACAGCAGCGTGAAGTTGTTAACGCGTGAAGAAAAAGCTCAACCGAGGAGGAACGTCGACTCTGGTCGACTCCCGACTCCGACTCCGGACTTGAGTCACGCACTTTTTGTCAAGAACGTATTCGTATCTATTCTCGAATCTACTCCAAGCTACGCCAGTGTTCGTAGTACGCACGCTATTGACTTTCCCACCAACTGCACTCTATGACGGAAGAGATCCCACTCCTTTTCATCTGGAACGGATTGTTGATTGTTGATGCATAACTGATGCGAGGCGTGTATATACACCGAGCAGGTGTGTTCGGAAAACGTTGGACTCAAGTTTAAACGTCCAATTCGATCACTTGCCGCGCAATGAAGATAGCTGTTTGTTTTTCGTAGCTGAATTTTTTGCACTTTGTCATCCTTTTTCTCCTTTTTTCTACCGCGATTACATATCTAAATTCATATAAAATGGAAAAAGTATAATAAATTAGTCTATTTACGAAAAATAGACTAGAATTGAAAATAAGTCTGTTCTTTAAATTGTAGCTGAATTATCAATTTAGTAGAATTTCTACTAGTAGAGAGAGAGAGAGGTTTTTTTACCGGTATATTTTTTAGGGAGGGGCAAAAAATTAGGAAAATTTCCGGATAACTTTTAGAAAAGAAAATATAAAAAAAGAACCTAAATCAGCTAGCTATAATATTGAAAAAATCGCAATATAAGGAATTCGAATATTCATATAGCACAAAAGATTGAAGCAATATTACTGTAATGTTGCAATATTGCAGATTACAATATAACATTGCAGAGATATTACAGAAATGTAAATTAACAATGCCTGCAATATGTCAGTAATATACATGTAATATTTCAGAAACATTACAAAACTGTAATTCTTTAATTGTTACTATATAATATAATAATATAAAAATATAATTTTGTATAATATTTATGTAGTATAGTCTTTTAGTTTAACAGTCGTTTTTATGATATAATAATTAATATAATCTGTTTTTATATTTCAAATAAAAAAATTTATTAATCTATTATTTGACGGCCATCTGACGGCCATTAGCTAAATTTTATATTCATTTTGAATATAAAATCAAAAGATTGTACAATATCGAGTGTGGATACATCATTATCGGATAAGATGATAAGCAATTAAGCTGCTGAAAATAATTTATCGAAATATTAATTATGTGATCGATGATGTATTTATGCCTAATGTGCACGCAAGAATAAACCAGCGCCCGAACTTTATTGATAAATTTCATACCATCATTTTTTAATCGATTTCAATTGACTCAAAGTGGCTTCGAATTGAAAAGAATCACTGCAATTAACTTAATTCGTGATTAACTTATCAAGCGACTATATTATTACATGGATAATATTTGTGGTTGATAATATTTGCTCGGGGTACACACATACATGTTTTATTCTTGGGAATAAATTTATTCTTCAGAATTAATACTACATTTATTGAAATATTTTATGATTTTATCATAAAAAATTACTTTTGAAAAGCACATATCACTAGAATGCGATTTGTAGAAAAATTGAAGTTAGTGAGATACAATATATGTACAGAAAATAGTTTTCATTTTAGAGTTTTCGTAAAAAATTTATTCAAACACATTGCATTGTAATATTGCTGGAACGTTTCGTTGTAATATTGCAAAAAGCGAACATCTTAACTTAATTGATGAAATCTTGCAGCAATGATTCAGCAACATTTCGCAACCAATGCAATATTCTGCAATCTTTCTGTACTGCATGAGTAGACTTGGCCACATTTACGGTATATTATATATTTCTCGTTTTTAATCCAAGTACTGTATTAGTGCGCGCTATACGTGAAATCATTTAATTATAAATGAAAAATATGATATCTTATTAATCGAAAATACAATGTAATTAATACTATCGTACATTTTTAGCAAATCGAATGACAACTTGGAACTTGGACGGCATTTATACAAGTAAATTAAGTGTTCCGTATGTGTGAATAAAAAATTAATGTGTGAGATTAGTAGTAAGAAGTGTGTAAGATTAAAAACAGATAACATAATTGTTTATGCAACGTTAGATCAATCGATAAGAATTTAATTTTGATTTTTTTTTTGTAAATGATCATGACGCAGGAGAATATCTAGATGTGCGACACGCGCGCGACGCGAGCCGCGAGCGTGCTGAAGTTGGCGCGCGACGCGAGCCGCGAGCCGTGAGCGTGCTGAAGTTGGCACGCGTATGTTGGCGACTAGGGCGCGTACACACCAGTGTACCAATACACAGTAGTACACACAGGTCTGCGTGTAAGGCGAATGACTTTTAAAAAACGCGTGGAAGAGGGAGAAAAGGGAAGAAGAGAGAAAGAGAAAGAAGCGGAAACTCCCGCGGACGGAACGGAGGAGTCAACGTTCGGGTAACGTCGCGGTAACGTCGTCGTCGGGTTCGTCGGCGTGGAGGATGACGATGACGGTGTCGCGGGTGCACGAACCCGCTGTGAACAGAATCAGCGAAATCGACGACGTGCGCGATTGATCGATGCCGTGGCCGCGATGCGCGCCGAGGACGTGCCGCCAGCCACTGCCGTGCGACATGCGAGAGCCGCGACCGCCGAGACGTCGTTAATCAAACCGTCGATTGACCGAGCGAATAGGAGAGCGTGCGTATTCCGGGGAACGGGACTGAACGGGGCTGAACGGGGCAGCGCGCACCTTCTCTCGAGCCACGAGCAAGCGTGAGCGAGCGCGAAGGGCGGATAGAGAAGATAGAGTGGAATACACTATACAGTGAGTGAGAGAGAGGGGCAGGAGGAGGGAGAAGGACCGAGTAAAAGCGAATTGAATTCCTACGCTCGACGGTAACGTACGGTGCCGGAATTGCAGCCCAACTATATACGATAGTCTGTTTCTCTTCGCAACGGCAGATCGTGGGTATTTGAGAGAGATGGACTGAAGGCGGGGAGCAACGACAAGGAAGGCACGAAAGAGAGAAAGAGTCAGAGGGAACAATTGGGAGGGTTAGATGAGGGAGGGAGTACGTTTCGATAGTGAGTTTAAGAGCAGCGACGACGAGGAATCCGGAGTAGGATACCACTGGGTACGACCGAGGGACCTGGAGAGATCGAACGATTGGGTGCAGGCGTGCACGGAGGGATCGCTCCACGATGGACGAGTGCATGTTGAACGACTTGTTGGAGTGCTCGGTATGCCTGGAACGACTCGACACGTCTAGCAAAGTACTACCGTGTCAGCACACGTTTTGCAAAAAGTGCCTGGAGGAGATCGTCAGTACCCATCGCGAGCTACGTTGCCCAGAATGCCGTGTCCTCGTGGACGCCAAGGTGGACGACCTGCCACCGAATGTGTTGCTAATGCGTATCCTCGAAGGGATGCGCAACGCCGCACCGAAGAATCAGGCCAAGTCCGCGCTACCGTTGTCGAGGTCCTCGGGTGGCACTGCCGCGCCTCAACGGCTATTTGGCGGTCACCAGGTTGCTCCGGCCCCTATTGTCACCGGCAATCTCGCGCCTGCCATTGCCTCCGAGCCGGCAGTAAGACATTCCAATGCTGCTGCCAAACAGGTGCATCTACATAATCAGGCGTACGGAAGAGCGATCTATGATTATGTCTCCAAAGTACCAGGGTAAGCATTAGATGTTGTAAGTTGTACAATCACGATTTATTTGTATATTTTCTTATCTTGCTGTGTAAATATTATTGTTTGTTCTTGCAGCGATTTAAGTTTCAAGAAGGGTGACATAGTCATTCTTCGGAAGAAGATTGACAACAATTGGTATTTCGGGGAATGTGGCAATAATCATGGTGTCTTTCCTTTGTCTTACGTTCAGGTATAATCTGTGCATCTTGAAATATCGACTGTTATACTGATTTGAATACTATAAAATTGAATTAATCATAATTTGCTTTATCACAATTTCCAGGTGATGACGCCTTTGACACCGCATGTACCTCAATGTAAAGCGCTATATGATTTTAGGATGACACATGACGATGAGGATGGTTGTTTAACTTTTAATAAGGTAGTTTCACATATCACTTTTTCATAATCATTTACCATTAATGTGTCAATGGCATGTTTATATGTACAAAATAAATGTATTTCTCAGGGAGAAGTTATCAGCGTTATCCGAAGAGTAGACGAAAATTGGGCAGAAGGTAAACTTTTGGACAGAATTGGTATCTTTCCGCTGGCTTTTGTCGAACTAAATAGCGTTGCTAGAGCTTTAATGAAACTCTCGACCAAGTAAGTAGAATTGATTAATATAATTGCCATGTTTCTTTAAATAAATATATATTAATTAGTGTTTTAATCAGTGTACAGCCGGGACCGTCAAGGGTAGCCCCGCCAACTCCGACGAACGAAGAAACCACGCCATTAATACCAACCGATCATTCGCGTAACGTGCAAACAACGAGTCAATCTCGACCACAATTGGTGCAGGTACATATTACTGATTAAGCATTTGGATGCTTTCCAGCAAGAGATAAGTTACAGATATGAATCATTATATTCTTGTTTACTGATGTTAAATAGAGATTTACTGTACTATACTATATCATTTGTGTCTTTTCCTAGAAAATACTCTTTACTAGTTTAGTATAAGATACGTTTTGTGAGATATTTGTTTTGATGTTATATTGCATAGAACGCTGCATTACAGGTATCTGATTCTGTCTCAAACGTATCGTCTGGCGGCAGCTCCACAACCACTACTCCAAACACCCCTAACAGTTCGACCACATCCAGCAGTTCCAGTACTGCCCCGAGTAGTCCTGGCAGTCCTGCAACGTCGCCGCCGGCAGTCGGCAACAGGCATAACGTTAAACGTCATAGTTTCACTGCCGTCAATACAGGTCACCATGCACATCCCCATCATAGACATAGCGCTGAAATACTTAGTCCTCCGATAGACAGTGCCCCTAATAACGCCAATAATAGTGGAGGCAATGAGTCATTTTCCTCCTTACAAGTAAGGGAATCATACTATGTTTTTCTAACAATTTCTGTATGGATAGCTACATACACGATCAGTTCATAATTCTCTCTTGCTTTTTGTATTTTGACATTTTTTAAATACTAAATTTGAATGAATTTTCTTCTATTATAGACGAGCGGTAGTTGTACGGATCATAATCTTCGTCACAGACGAAGTGGCAGCAGCGATCTTGTTCTTGCTCAGGCGTCACAAAGTATATCTGCTGGGCAGACTACTACTAGCGCATCCGCTGCGACGCATCTGCCAGCGGCATACGTAGCATTGTATCCATACAAGCCCCAAAAAGCGGATGAGCTTGAATTACGAAAGGGTGGGATTTACATGGTAACAGAACGCTGTCAAGACGGATGGTTCAAAGGAACGTCCAATCGTACCCAGAAGTGCGGAGTTTTTCCTGGAAATTATGTTGCACCTGCCAAGTAAGCATTTGCATTCTTCTTTGTCTCGTGGGTTAGTCTGGTCATTTCTAAGTAACAGTTTCCGGTACATTTGCAGCAGATGTCAACGCGGGCTGTGCCGCGGATCTCCAAACTCACCGAGTCAACATCAAGGTTCGCCATTATCAAACGCCCCATCAAATACTGAGTCGCGTTTGGCGGTGACATACACAAAGAGCAAGGGTCCCGCGCCACAACCATACAATCCTCGTACACTGCCGCCGCCTGAATTACCGCCGCGTGCCATCAGTCCATCCACGACGACAACCGTGTCTTCGTCCTGGCACGGCGCCGCTCAGTCTAATCAGGGACCGAATCAAGAAACTAGTCCGCCCCGACACAACGATCAAAATGCCGCTGCTCCACTTGGACGCAGTCATAGCGCGGTGATGACGGCAAATATTCGTATGTACTTTAAGTAAATCGCAATGGATTACGTTTTTCATTGATGCTACAATTATACGACATTTCTTTTTAGCTTCCCCCGGTAAACAAATCACCGTATCGTCATCGTTACAACCGGCAGCTGGCATCAATAACGCTAACAATGGCTGCAGTAGCATTACCATCTCCGCTTCTTCCTCTTCCACAGGCGATATGAACAGAAGCCCGAACAATACTCTGCGTGTAGCGAGCGGTATCGCATCGTCGAATGCAGCCGCGAATGCAGCGTCCAGAACCACGGAAAAGGTATTATTCCTGTGATAAGTGTTTGTACACATATTCCGATAATGTAATTGCTCACTTATTGCAGACGAAAGAAAAGAAGGATAAATGCGTTTCATTGATGCGCCGCTTGACTAATATTAAGAAATCTAAATCGCCTCCACCTGCTACGTACTCAATGGATAATCCTGTATTCGACGATGGTAACTCCGTCAATCCGATGCACGTTCGGTGAGTAGACGATTAATTTAGATTATCGCGAACTTATGAATACGTATGTGTGTACAAACTGTATTATAAACCAAAAATCGAGAACAGTGATTTATAATTTGCACGTTCTGATAATTGATTTTGTTTGACATGTACTCCATCTAATTTTCGTATGCACATACATGCATTTATTGTGTACACTGCAAATACCGTGTTCTCAGATTGTCGAGCAATTTGTATGTGCGCGTATGAATGTTTGTCAAAGTGTTAGTTCAAATGTTTAAATAAAAGTACTATTTTTTTCTTTTTTGCTAAGATCGTTGCATGATCATTGCATCGTCAATAATTATGCACACATATAGAGTAGATAGATAAATGGCTGACCACTTAGATAGTCACTCACGAATAATGTAAATGTTTAAACGTTATCATGCTTTGTATGGCATGACACAAACTGCACGCCTTAAAATGTTTCTCTAATATTATGTTGGGACGGGATGGGTGGGACGAATTGACAATCGCAGATCGGGGTCTTGTCCAAGTCAGTTGCTACAAGTGGTACCCACACAGGAATTAAATGCTTCGAACAGCCCACACCGCTTATGTCCGGGCTCTGTTCAAGGGCACGTCACATCCTCACAGAGACTGAAATACAAGGAGAGACCCTCCTTACCAGTGTCAGTAACGCAGAGGTTAGTCGTTTGTAATCCTAAATATGAATTCGGCGATTCAAAATTCATAGAACTCTTCTGCCATAAATTATAATTATTCATTAAATATGAAAAGAACAATCGTTTTTCGATGACATTAAAAAAGCTGCGATATTGTTTATGTAATATTTTACAACAATTAATAACACAATTGAATGTAATACTTTATTTTAATGAAGTACAGGAGTTCATAGTTTATATTTATATAAAGTACAGGATATTATATTATTTCTACTGATAAAAGTATCCTATATAAAATTAATATCTTCATATTTTAAGCGATCATATTTCTTAATTTTTACGGCGAAGACGTGCCTATGTAAGTTAATATACATATTTGAGAATTCTATCATATAAGTACTTATCATTTCCTTGGTTGTTTTTTCTTTATATTAGTATTTATATTTTATTATGAAGTAGAACTGCATTTGATTTCAAGGTAAGCTTATAAGAAAAATCTAGATCACATTTATACAATCTATTTTACTGCATAATTAATGTTTATCTGCATAATTAATGTTAGCTGCATAATTAACGTTTTTCTTATATCACAGAATTGTAGCACGCTCTTTTGTACAAGATAAATTTTATTTTATATAGTTAGAGAAACATTGTGATTGCAGACACTTTGCATGTTTGTGATAACTGTGATAAATTTATTAAATGTTTGTTAAATATTTCTTTGTTGATAATTTTGTGTACAAAAAATGATATATAATTGATATATATTTTATTTATTTATGCTTGTGTGATGCTGATCGTCTGATATATAAGCATTTTATATATTATATTTTATATTTATATAATAAATTGCCAATATAATAAATCACAATTTATTGTAACGATAGTTTTATTACACATTGGCTCTTTATTCCTACCTAGATCCAATGAATCTAGTGCAATGGTGCAATGCGCGACCGTTGGAAATCATCATCGCAAGAGTAATTCGCTAGACGCTGGAATGGGAAAGCAAATGAAGCAGCAATCGTCTCGCGACCGGTAAATATAATTTTGTTCCTCAAATGCCCTGTTTTAACCCTTGTTAACTTTCGCCCATTAGTCACGATCAAGATTATACAGTCCTCGTTATTTCATGATAACTATGTTCAATTTTAGCGCGGGATACAGATTCCGTTGTATCGTACCGTATCCACCTAATAGCGAGTTCGAGCTGGAGCTTCGTGTAGGGGACATAATATATGTGCAGAAGAAGCGCGACGACGGATGGTACAAAGGTATGCAGCAGCGTACCGGTCGCACGGGACTATTTCCGGCTAGTTTTGTGGAAGCTTTCTGAGACCCGACACAAAGTCGTTTAGTGTTAGAAACTTGTATATAACTTGGCCTTTTGTGTAAGTATTTACACAACATATTCAGATTAGGATTATCTCCACTAGCGGTACGTATCCGCGGATATTTGTCGTTAATTCTCTCTGGGATATCATCGACTGCAAAGCGATTGGTGCATGTACGCGCATACTGTATCTCGAGCTGTGCAATGTAATATACGTACAGCTATTGTGTAAACTTAATGGGCCATTAATTAACGTGTTGTAGTAAACGCGCCGTGTAAGTGACCGACGACGCGTCGAGTTAATAATGAATGCATTCGCGCGATGGATGCAATAGGAAATTTTAGCGCAAAATAATTATGCATATTTTGCATGTAAATAGGTGCGAGAAATGACGAAGGGTAGTACGAACACGACGCGAAAACTACTCGGAACTTATACTGCCATCGATTATGTAGGCGTGCGTAATTGTAATAAGAATAACGAATTCATTTTGCGCGACGTTACTGCCATTTGCGATCGTAAGGGAAAAATCGGTTTCCCATTTTGAGCTGATTTCGAACTTGCTGTCTTTTTTCGATACACGCACGATGTGTTAAAGAGATTATAGATTGTGTAAATATTCATGCTTATACGCGTACGAAGCCGTTCATGACACATAATTAAAAGTAGAATTATAGAATGAATAAAAAAAAGAAAGGAACTGTATATAGGGAAGAGAATTTCTTAAAAAAAAAATCTAAATATCTCGGGGAGGGAGAGACAACTTATACATAGACTAATATAAGCCTATAAATGCAGATATGTTTATATATGCGATAATACGCTTAAAATCTATCAGCAGTGTTGAACATTGCAGTTGTAGGTCGGTTGAAAAGTTTTAATCCTCAACATGAAGATGACATTACTTGTTAAAACTATTCTGATACTACAATCGTACATACATGCTTTGAAAGATACCTGTGAAAATTGTAACTATTTTGAACGCTCAGTCATTTAACAGTCATTTGTGCTAATCGATGTCAGTATCTTTGCAAAAAAATCTTGGAAAAAAATCGAATATCGTGCCGTGATTAGATTCTTGCATTGCAAAAACAATACTATATTCTTGCATTGCAAAAACAATACGCTTGCGCAAGTTAAAGCTGAGTTGGACGCTGTTTATTCTGCTCCATTATTTGCCATCGCGAAAAGATGGGCCGCTGAATTTAAACGTGGTCGACCAGCTGATGAACGGACGATTCGGGACGTTCAAACTGCGACCATCACCGATAACATCGAAAAAGTTCATCAAATGGTACTGGATGACCATCGAGACAAGATTAGAGAAATAGCAGAAGCTATAGGTATATCGAAAGAACGTGTTTATCATTGACTGAAGAATTAGTCATGCATAAGTTAACCGCGTATTGGGTGTCGCGCTTGCTCATCGAAATGCATTTGAATGAACATTTCCAAAGCTTTGTTGGAGCGGTTTAAGCGAAACAAATCAGATTTTTCGATTAATAACTGTTGATGAAACTTGGATCCACTATTTCATTTTTGAGACGACGAAACAGTTAAAACAGTGGATTGTAAAGGAAACCTGCTCTGAAAACGGATTCATCGGCCGATGGTCATATTTTCCTTTATTTCTTTATATATCGAAAAATCTTTATATAAGATATATCTTTGTGTTTCTTTATATATCGGAAACCGGAAGATGATGACGATTGTTCTTTGAAATAGTCATGGAATTGTGTTCATCGAGTATCTTGAAAAAGATAAAACAATAACGGGGTGTACTACGCATCATTAATTGATAAACTGAAGATAGAAATTAAAAAACGATCGCATTTGAAGAAAAAGAAAGTGCTGTTCTATCAAAATAACGCACTATCTCACATTTTGGTCGCTGTGGTAAAAAATTTATGAATTGCAGTTCAAATTGATTGACTACCCACTCAAATT